CAGACAGACAGCAGTAGTTGGCTGCAACCGCCGGTCACCCGTGAGGAGACGCACTCGGCACATTAAGGCCCTGGCTAAATGAGGAAACAAGTTTCCAGAAACATGTTTCCCGCGCGCATGCTCCCCGATGATTCCAAGTTTAGCCACATGCATTGCTACRTGCAACAAATTTTGCTTCCAAGACGCAAAAACGTTTTTTCTGTGCGGCAGAAACATTGCATGCTTCCAAGACGCATGGAAATCCTCGTTTAGCCACGAAAGTCAACATTCTAAAAGTACGTTACTTAGCAACGCTAGCTCTATCTTGAAAGTGCGCATGCGCTAACCGACTTTGAGTAAACATGTTTCCCGATGTTCCCTGACAATTTTGCCACCTTTGGAAACATTTAAGAAAACATGTTTCCTCGTTTAGCCAGGGCCTAAGACCTGCTTGCTCCTCTGTGCACAGACGGTCTAGGGATCCCGGTATAGCGTTATCGACAAAATGAAAGCCGCTGTCGTGGAAAAAGTAAAATCAAAGATACAGGAAACTTTTAAGAAACACTGGAAATTTGTAGAAAGGGATTAAAAAGACGAGAAAAATATTATATTTGTTTAGAAAGTAGAATGAAAACGCAAGGGCGGATCCAGGGGGAGGGTCGGGGGGTCGCGACCCCCCTGTCATTCCTGAGGTCAAATGGGCTTCCTGTGGTAAAAATGCGACTGGGATTCCTTTGCCCACAAAATTTACCCCTGAGACCCCCCTTCAAAAAACCCTGGATCCGCCCTTGAAACGGGTGTGTTTGTGATATGTTTTCAATTCAAGAATGGGTATTTTTTTTCTAGTATGTCACAGTCACCAAAAGTATTAACCATGTCTTCTACTAAGCACGTGCAACTCCATACATAGTACAAACCAATGTTCACAATCGCTTGTACGATAACACAAATGATTATTTGTGCAAAAAGTTAAACTTAGATATTTACTTTTCAAGTTGCTTCGCTGACTAGGCTCTATATCCAATATGACGATTTGCCTGTTGTTTGCTTCACCTTTGAAGTTCTGTTCGAGGAGATTTTCTGTTATTTCAACATCTGAGGCGTTAATTTCAGCGTCATAATTTTCTGTTTTCTGAGATATTTTTGTGGATAGCAAAAAGATTTTAACGCCGAATTTGCAGGATTTTCCCCCCTATAATTTTTTATTTTGATATTCATAGAAAGTATTAATTTTATGGCAAAATTTTGCAAATGATCAAGATTCCCCCCCTCCCCGTAATATAATATGGGATATTGTTTGAGTATTTTTTGTTGAAACATTTCCTTCTCACATGGAACTCAATTTTTCTGGAGATACTTCTAAGAATTAAGAAAAAGCTTATCGTAGTACTTTTTATGACTTCAATTTTTCAACAAAGCCCCCGTGAGAAGGTGCTGCTCCCATACATAGCATATATATGAGGGTGTCTTCGCGTCCGGGGAACAAAGTCCTTCTTCTTACATTGCAGTAGCTTCTAATTTTTTGCGCAAAAATGTTTGACAGAAAACACTGAAATGGCTTCTCTTCTTCTTCTTAAAAATCACCAGCAACCTACGTATATAATTCAATAAGCCTAGTTACTCGAGTCGGCTTAACATTCTTAACTGAGYTTAATATTTTTACGTCAATACAGAACATTTCATCGGAAAAATTTGATTTTTTAAAGACTTAACCTAATAAATCACTGACACAAGAGACTAAAGTAGTGGTTATCAAAACAATAAAAGCAAAATTGAAACTGAAATAATAATAATGATAATGTGTTGAAAAGAATACAAAGGATTTCAAGGGTTGCGAAACATACCAACATTATGGGGAGTAACGCCAGGCATGTGACCCTAGTACAGACAAGCATTGAACAGACTGAAAGTTCCGTAACAGGCTTGAAAGAGTATTGGAATTTGGAAGTGCACAATATACTAAAAATACAAAACCTAAGGTGAGGTTATAAGGTATACGAAAGGATAATGTTGGGTAAGCTAGTTTAGGGTTCAAGCTGGGCCACTGTATCATGAGTTGAGTTTTATTGTTTCTGTTTCATCTGAAAGCGATAGAGTTTTGCGCCATTCTTATTCCCTAGTCATTAACGTTT